CAGCTGGGACTACAGGCGCCCGCCACCACGCCCAGCTAATTTTTTGTATTTTTAGTAGAGACGGGGTTTCACCATGTTAGCCAGGATGGTCTCGATCTCCTGACGTCGTGATCCGCCCGCCTCGGCCTCCCGAAGTACTGGGATTACAGGCGTGAGCCACAGCGCCCAGCCACTGGTATAGATTTTTAAGCAAAACGCAGTTTACTTGTCTCAGGATCTCACTCTTGAAAAACTGAAGTGGCTAGTTGACCAACCACACCGCAAGGGGGCTCCACCTTGACGGCCTGGTAGAGAGCTGCGTTTCTGCTGGTCTGTCACTGCAGCCTCACATACCAGCAGGGCCGCATCTCCATTCGTGAGATTGTTACGTGGAAGCAAGGCTGATAATCACCCCTCTACCATCCCGTCATTATTATTCACAAAGCATTCTCCTTGCTTAATTGCCTTGTGGCAACTCTGGCAGTTATTCCATGAAAAGCAAACATAAGGCACGTGTTCTTAGGAGGTTGTAATGAAGACCTTCGGTGTCCACAGGACAAATACACAGAACATAATAGGTACTCAGAAAGTGTGTGCTAAATTAGTGAATTAGTGAGTAAATCATGAGCTGAGCCTTATACAGAACAGGACTGAGTATATCATTTGTGGAGAGGGTCAGGAAAAGAAGCAGGGGCAGCCCTGTTTGAACAGCATCCTTCTTCTGTGTAAGTATAGCTGGCAAGAGAACCTTTACACCTAGGCCAGCTCTGGCTGAAGGTGTTAGTGTGTGGTGAATTAAAAATGAATTATCCCCCTGCCTTGGCCATTTACCTTTCTAGGCTTTTCTTCCAATTCTCCTGAGTAGAGTACGTTTTGCTTCTGTCCCTAGACATTCTCCAGGGATATTGTTACTCTTTTCCCTCATTTGTTTTAGCTCATTTTATTCTTTTTTCTGCTTATTGAAATTCTTATCCCTTAAGGCCCCGGACAAAATGTTATCCATGCCATGAAGCTTTCTCTGCTTGCCAGTCAGAACTGTGTTCATCCTTACCCTCTTTAAATTCCTCCAGCACTTGACTTAGACCTTTGTGCAATTCTTGCCAAACAGTGCACTGCCATTGTTTGTGAACGTATTTGTCTCACATACCAGATGATATGCTTCTTAAGGGTAGGGTCTCATAAATTTCTCTTTATTTTCCAGTATGGTTTCTCGTACCGAGTATGGATTTAGCAAATATTTATAGATAGGAATGGGGAAGGGAAGGAAGGAGGGAGGGGGGTAAGGACGATGGATGGAAAACATAATGGAATCCTAAGTTGGAAGAAACCTTAGAGGTCACCTAATCTTTGCATGAGTTCCCTCTGTAACATACTCAGATGTCTCATTACAAATAATTTATGCATTTATTTATTTTCAAAATAATTCAGCCTGTCTACAAATGGTTTTATTTTCCCTTTCTGGGAAAAGCGGGGGTGGGAAGGGTGAGGGGAGATGATGAATGATATAGATAAAAAAGATGTTGAAATTTTGATAAGGTACAGAAATGTAAAATACAATTTTTATAGGGAGAAGGGAATAATAAAAATTATCATGAGGCAGTGAGCAATCATTTAACTTTGCTGATTTTTTTTTTTTCCTGAAAGAGGCCACTATTAATCATTTCTTGCTATTCTGAGCATGTATTTGTGCTGCTGCAGATTTCTGTGCTCTTCTTTGTCAGTTTGTGCCATTCCTTGGTGCGAAAGTGACAAGTAGTGATGGTGGGAACCTGACAGAATGAGGTGCAGGAATGAGTCTTGTTCATTTTTTTGGGATGGGGGTGGAGACATAGAATCTTCAAATATTGCTTCTGCCATTTTCAATGTGAATGTGTGACAAATATAAAATATATCTCAGACTAAATATACTCTGTACTACTCCTTACCTTGTTATACATCTTCCCCCAGCAAAACACCCTGCATGTTTTAAGGCAGGAGCACCCCAACACATTCCACAGTTGTCTAATCTTAAAACACTAAGAGAACTTTTGCCCCTGTCTTTGTGTTTCCTAGCTAGGCCAGTGAAAGGGAGCTCCCTGGTGACCAAGGGGTTTAGGCATTCTTTAGCTGATGGCTGGCTGCAGAGAATGGATTGTGTTCTTGGTCAAGCAACCTTCTGCTGCTTGCTTTTCATTCCACTCCTTTAATATCATCACTGTACCTCTCAAGCCATACTGCTCCAATTCTCCCATCTGTTCACTGGCTTTGGGGAAATTTTCTTGTCCTAATGCAAAAACTTCCTTCACTATGCAAGGCCTACTGTTTTATGGCACATCTGAGAAAAGTAGGGTGATTGTTGGTTGACTGGCAGTCACCCCAAATATATTTTCTGTAACACCAACTGTGTACAAGGCACTGTGTTTGGCAGTCAGAAAATGCAGTAGGAACTACTATACTGTAATACATTTATGTATGTTTAATTCTGTGTCCTTTGTGTAGCTACAATTATTATCCATAATTTACAAATGAGGAAATTGAGGGTTACACAGATTAAGAATATGGGTCAAGGTTGCACAAGCAGTAGATGTTGAAGCCAGGTTTTGAAACAAGGCAATCTGACTCTACTTGAAATTTAACATCTGTTTTCTTTTTTCTTTCTTTTCTTTTTCTTTTTTCTTTTTTTTTTTTTTTTGAGATGGAGTCTTGCTCTGTCACCCAGGCTGGAGTGCAGTGGAGCGATCTCAGCTCACTGCAACCTCTGCCTCCCAGGTTCAAGTGATTCTCCTGCCTCAGCCTCCTGAGTAGCTGGGATTACAGGTGTGCGCCACCACGCCTGGCCAATTTTTGTATTTTTAGTAGAGATGGGGTTTCACCATATTGGGCAGGCTGGTCTTGAACTCCTGACCTCAGGTGATCCACTCGCCTCGGCCTCCCAAAGTGCTGGGATTACAGGTGCGAGCCACTGCGCTGGGCCCTGAAGTCTGTATTTTTAAACATGAAGCTGACTGCCTTTATTCAGGCATATAAAGTAAACTCTACATATATAACAATGTAGCTGGAAAGATGGGATACATAAACCAAAACATAACTAATAAAGTAAGATTGCATAATTAGGAGCTGACTAAATGTGCAAAATATATTGTATGTGTGTTATTAGGTTCCAGAGGAGGAAAGAACACTGTGAGCTAAAGTGGTCAGAAGGAAATGGAATTTCTCTTAGCTCTGGAAAAATGGAGAGATGAGCAACCCTGACAGCTGGGTAGGACTATGAGCTCACAGTTCGCCTTTATACCCCACACCTTCCCATTATCTGCTGATTGCAAGGCTAGTGTGGTGGCATTAGTCCTACAGCTCAGACTCTAAGTTCCTTGACATTGTCAGATCCTTGAGTAACCCACACACAACCCCTGCCCCTACCCCATCTTGTCCAGCAGCCTCCTGTGCGTCAGCCTCATGGAATCTCATTGGACTCTGGACCTTTGCCAGTGCTGTTGTCTCCCTCTACGGTGCCCTTCGTGACCTACTTATTGTCCAGCCTTCAGCTCAAGTATCACCTCTTTGTTGAATTGTTTTGTTCTTCATTCCTTTGCACTTCCCCATTCCTGCCATTGAGTTGGTCAGTCTCTTTCTTCTCCTATAACATCTGTATTTAAGTCACTCATCACACTTTGTTACATTTATATCTTTACATATCTGTTTTCTTCTGTTTTACAGTGGAAGCTCCTCAGGTCAGGTTTCTTCTCTCTTTTGTTTTTCTTGTAGCTCCAGCACTTAGGAAAATGCCTGCACACACAAGGCATTTTCTAAGTATCTATTGAATGGATAGATGGAAGGATGGAAGGAATGAGAGTATGCGTAAGTGTGTGAGATAGCAATAACCATGTTTTTTGTGGGCAATAATAAAATTGATATACCATGTAATACTACAAAAAAAATGCTTGTACATGACCTTTCATTTCAGCTTCACAACACTGCTATGAGGCAGGTAATTTAGTCAAAGAAAGTAAGCTTCAGGAGAGTAAGATCACAAAGCCAGTAAATGGCAAAGCTGGTTTTCTGAACTTTTCTTCAAAAGGGAGCTTCTAACGCTAAAGTTTACCTGGTTTAGGGGGAAGCTGCCTGGAGGATCAGCTATTAGCTCACCCGAAGCACGTTTTCCAACATGATAATATTTCACCAACTTTTATGGTTATATATATATATATATTATTTTTTTTTAATGAGATGGAGTCTCACTCTGTTGCCCAAGGCTGGAGTGCAGGGGCGTGATCTCAGCTCACTGCAAGCTCCACCTCCCAGGTTCATTCTATTCTCCTGCCTCAGCCTCCCGAGTAGCTGGGACTATAGGCGCCCACCACCACACCCGGCTAATTTTTTGTATTTTTAGTAGACGGGGTTTCACCATGTTAGCCACGATGGTCTCAATTTCCTGACCTTGTGATCCACCCGCCTTGGCCTCTCAAAGTGCTGGGATTACAGGTGTGAGCCACCACGCTTGGCCAATGGTAATATTCTTTTCGCAAACACTGAGGAAGAGATTTTAGAGGAAGTCAGGTGAAAGCAAGACAGAAACTCTCATAGAGGAAATATTAAAATAGGGAGTCTATTTTTCTGTGCCAAGTTTCCCTGCAACCAATGTGCAGGCCATGTTTTCTAGGCTGGTCCAGGTACCATGCTCAAAATCTGAAACCCGCCCTTGCCCTTTGCTCCAGCTTGGTACTGGGAGTGCTCTGCTGGAGCCCCATTTGCTTTTACAGGTGATAGTGATAGACGACTGACAAACCTGGAGAGGTGGGTGGTTAGCAGGGTTAGCAACGTATATATTTCGTTCTTCAAGCCACAGGTATGATACCATCCTTAGTGCTATGATGAGTATGTAATAGGATGGGTTGTGTTTGACTATATAAAAAGCAATTTTATAGTTAACATTTAGTGTGCAAAATTAATGCAGAATCAACCTCATTTTAAAATTGAGAAAATCAGAAATTAATTTTCTCTCTATTTTCTCCTCTCTCTCTCTTTCTCTCTCTCTTTTTCCTCAGATGGCTTCCTTTTATGTCTCAGGGCATAATTCATTCAGAAATTGAACTTTATCTTCAAGGTGAGGATTACTGAAACCATCGGTAGAAGGAAGTACAAGATGATTTTGTTACATCTGGACATCATGGAACACTATTCCCCAGTTTTCCTCAGAACAGCCCCTTTGATCATTTATCTTTTATTGTTGGATTTATAGTATTCCTCACAGTGAAATAAAAACATATGTAAATCTGTGTCTTAGAAATGTTATATGCCCTACTTGAAGTTAAAAATCAACGTAAGGATTTGCCACTGTTAAAGAGTTAAACTCATGTTTCTTCTTTTCCCATTTACGATGTCATCAGACAGATCTATTATTAACTGCACTTCACTTTTATTTTTGCAGAAATGCAAATAAATCATCAACCTAAAATACAAGAGGAAGCAAATGGTAAATGTTGTTGCCACTTTTCATCTTTTAATCATCTGAAATAATCCATTTCTGTTTCAAGATTACCAACCTTACACATTTTTTATAGTACATTCTTATTGAGTTTAACTGTTGATTGAAAAATACTTAAAATGAACACAGGAATAAGCATTAAAGTATAGTTGATTTATAAAGAAACTGACAGCAACTTTAGGCCCAAATGCTTTTTTCCTTAATGCTTCTCTTCAATCATTTAAATATATGGGGAAAATAATTATTTTCTGAATGGTTAAATTATATTAACTTCTTTTAATTGTACTTTTTAAAAAACTTATTTGCATATTGGTTTCTTAGTTTTCTTTTAAAGTTTTTGTAATTATCTTTTTCTATTAGATCCTCTTCAAATCAATCTGCAATTATAGTATTAATATGTTACATTTTTAAAGTTGATCTGAATGAAATTGATAAATACTATTTACTAATATGCATACCAGGTTACCATATCTCTATGTTTTAAAAAATGGATATACTTTCTACAGTGGTGTGAAACTAGGCAAAGATTAGTGCTAACATTATTTTATTCATGAAGTCCTATAATGATGAAGATGGCTGCTGAGACATAAACAGTTCAAGCTTAAACTAGCATTCTTATCTATTTATATTAGGAACTGTGTTTCAGCTTAGTTTTTGTTATTTATTTTGTAAGGAAAAGTCTGTTCATGTGTCAGATTCTTAGTATGGTCATAATTTTACTAATGTTCCAGAATTTCTTAATAATTTTAAAGGACCTCAAGAGGTCTGTGTCTTACAATAAACCATCAAGTAATAAGGCTTGAAATGATATTCTAAGTAGAAAAATTATCCATTAATACCAGAAGTCGGTGGGGCATATGTGGGTAATAAAGGCTAATAGTTTTAAAATGAAGGTTATAATTAAGGCTGAAAATATCAGAAGTCCTTTGCCAATAATGTAAGCCATGTAATCAACATCAGTGATGTCAAACATGAAGTTGCAATGTACAGGGAATGTGTTGACCTAGAACTTTGTTAGATATACTTCATCAAATTTGATTAAAATAAGCTATTTTAAAATACTTGCTTGTAATTAATTATTTCTGTTGTCTTATTTTATGGCCTCATTAAAATGTATATTTTTTATAGTTCAAAAGTGGATTAGTCAAAGACTAATGAGTTTAGTTAGTTTATGATACACTGTCATTGTTTGTGAATGGTTCTGTCTTATTTCATTTTTAAATTCTAAATAATGCGACCTTTAATATTTCTTGGGATATGATTCTGGAAATACATTAGTGATCTCATAGTTATGTGAATGAGCTAATTTATGGTGTGGAAAGAACCTTGAAATGTTAAGCAGTCTAATCTATTGAGGCAGTGTTACATGTGGTTAAGAATGTTGAAAAGCAAACATGAGTCTTAGATTTTGAAAATATATGAAGCACATGTATGTCATTTATGCCTTTCTATGTAGCTTCAGGGGGAAGAAAGTAGACCAAAATGCTATTTAAATTTAAAGGAGAAAAGGAAAAAGGACTCAACTAAGTTATTTTTACTTTCATTTTGAGGTGATCAACACTAAGTACAATTGTGCACCATTACTAACTCCTAGCCATGTTTTATTAATTCCCACAATCATCTAGGACATGTTTTCTAAACTTTGACACCTTATAATCTTAAATATTTATAATTCATATAGGTAAAATCATTCTTCATTGCAAAACTAACTACATAACTGAGTTAGACTGAACTTGGTTTTGAGAGAATATTTTCAGTATCCATTGCTGGATTGAGTTTCTTCATTGTTATCAGTGCTTTTGGCATATTGCTCTTATATCCAGCCACTATGCTAAACCCCTTCACTAATTCCAATAAATTTATATTAATTATATAATAAAAAATAAATTTAAATTGTAGTTCTAGAAGGTTTTTCAAGATACAATTTGAATGATCTATGAAGACCATATCATATGTGAATTACAACACCTTTTCTTATCCTAATATGCTGTCTAGGTCCCTGGTACAATGTGGAATAGAAGCAGTGATGGTAACATTAATAGTGAATGCGTATATTATTTGCTGTGTAGTCTAAGTGTTCCAGAAAAATTTATATATTTCATCCTCCAGTAACCCTATGGGGTAGGTTGTATCATTATTCTACTTCACAGGTGATGAAACTAAAGGACAGAGAGGTTTTTATAACTTGCCTAAAGTCATACAAACAGATTTAGAATTTGAATGCAAGTGGTTCGACTTCGGGGACTGTACTGTTCTTGCTTTAGAGGGACTGATTTTCACTGCCCCCTGCCCCCAGTCACTAAAAATGTGTGCGTGAGAGAGTATTTATCTTCTGTGTCTTTGGATTTATCTTGTTGTGTTATTTTTTAACATATTAAGCTACATTTAGCTTTTAGCCTTGTTTAAAATCTGAGTGAAAGGATGTTTTTAATTGTCAGGGGAGATTATTATTGTTATTATATTTCATATTACTCTTTTCTCAACCAGAACCTTTGTGGGGACAGGTTGGGTTTTTGATAAGCTCCTTTTACTACCCCTTATTTGGAGTCCAACCTTTCGCTAAGGGTGTATCCCCCTTTGGCTTACTTCAGAAGTCTCGGGTCCAGCTCCACCCTCGTGTGGCCATTGCCACTCATTCTCCTGGCTTGGAGTGTTGGCATCCATCACACCTGCAGTCCTCGCCTTCTTGTTTGCTGAGTGCTCACCACTCACTTTCAGCTAGTGGCCCCTTTTATTATTAACATGCAGTGGATAATTTTTCTTACTTCCTTGAGATTAGAATAATGTACTAAAAACAATTTTTTTTTGTAATTTATCCAGAATCTCATTGTATTATAGTGAAATGGCTTTAAAAATACCATCTCAGGGCCAGGTGCAGTTGCTCATACCTGTAATCCCAGCACTTTGGGAGGCTGAGGTGGCCGGATCACTTGAGGTCAGGAGTTTGAGACCAGCCTGGCCAACATGGTGAAACCCAGTCTCTACTAAAAATACAATAATTAGCTGAGCGTGGTAGTGCATGCCTGTAATCCCAGCTACTCGGGAGGCTGAGGCAGAAGAATTGCTTGAATCTAGGTTTTGAGGTTGCAGTGAACCTAGATGGCACCACTGCACTCCAGCTGGGGCAACAGAGCAAGACCCTGTCTCAAAAAACTAAATAAATAAAATACCATCTCAGGAAACTGTGGCTCGGAACCTTGTAAGATGACAAGGTGTAAGAACCTTGTCATCAGTCAAGCAGTTAGTAAATGAAAGAACTGATATTGGAACTTAGCTCTTAACCATTATACAAAGCTGCTTGATTTTAATGACTCAGCTTCCTACATGTACTCAAGGATTTCTGACTTCAGGGATTTAAAAATTCTTGGAGCACTTATTTATAGGCAATGCCAACCCTTTGTAGTATCATTAACAATTTGGTGGATTTTGTGTGGTAAAGATTATTAAAATATTTTCTCTCTCCTCTCAATTCTATTGCCTATACATGCCTGGCTGGCCTCACTTCCCAAATAGTGTCTGCTCAAAGAAAGAAAATTAAATTTAATGATTAGTCTCAGCTAAACATGATTAAGAACATAAAATATTCTATCACATCATCATGCATTCTGAGTCAACTATAGATGGCTTTGTATTGCCTTCTACTCTGATCATTCAGGGTACAATTTCCTGTGGTGGTGTGGATAATGACAGAGTAACAGCCTACCTCTTGTGTTGGAGCCTTCTGTCTGTTGTGTCAGCCTCATTTCCTCCACAGGAAGACACACTGTGGCACTAGGGAGCCTGGGCAAGCCTCAGGAATCAGTGTCTCAGATGAGTGTGCATAATTTGTGAAGCTGAGATGCCAGAGGAACCATTTTCAAGATTGCCTCGTCAGTCCCAACATACAGAGCCTGAAACTAGGTTAATGAATTCCAGCAGGGCTAAGTGGGAAAAGAGAAGTCAACTTGTGAACAAGTTTAGAATCAAAAGGAGAGAAGGTGAGCCAAGAGGAATTCTCCCAGCAGAGGCCAGATGCTGTGACTTACTGTTTAGTGCCTGAAACCTTTGGTATGGGCATGCCAGGAAGTGTTAAGTGAGCAACCAGGAAGACAGTGCAGTGTTTCTCATGCCCTGGCTGGGTTTAGCTTCATTTGCTCCCAAATTAAATAGCTAGTGTTTAGTTTTTGTTTGATTCTAGAACATTGGCTCACACTTTTTTTTTTTTTTTTTTTTTTTGGTTTGAGACAAAATACCCATAACTCAACATAGCAGTGGAATGGAATGGATTTGACACTGAAACAGTAATACTCACTCAGCATCTTCAGATATCCAACAGCCCTGCAGAAACATCACCATCAACAGCCTACACCTCAACCACTTTGTGTTTATAAATAATTCACAGAAAGCATAGAATGGTTTGGGGTGAAGTAGACTTAATCAGGGTATGTCTTGTTAGTCTGAAGCAAGTTTTCTAAACCTTGGGTCTACTGACATTTCAGCTTGGATAATTTTTTGTTGTGGGGGACTGTCATAAATATCAGGGTATTCAGCAGCTTTCCTGGCTTCTACTCACCCACTGGATGGCAATAGCACGCACCTAGTTGTGATGACAAAAAAAAAAAAAATGTCTCCAGACATCAACAAATGTCTCTAAGGGGCAAAACCACCCACAGTTGAGAACTGCTGACCTAGAAAATAGTGGTTCTGCTGGAAAAGTGGTCAGAGAGGTGTGGAGATGGGGAAGTCTGGAAAGGAGGGTGTGGGAAACTGTTTGCTAAGAACGCCTGTAACTGCAGCATTTTCTGTGTTCTTCTGAACTCAACAAAAGGTAGAATCAGCCTGGGCAGACATTTGAGACTGCCTTGACTAACTGTGTAAAGCAGAAATGATAGTACGTGACAGTTTTGCTATACACTATTAGGTCATAAAAGATGACACCACTCCTGCCTGGGAATGTTAGTCTTTAGAATCCAGCCACTGTCCTGTGAAAAAGCCTGGACCTTATGGAG